TTTTTCTTTTTTTTAACTATATTTGTGCAAATAAACTATTTCTCTTTTATAAAAAGCCATTTTTAGATAAAGGTTGACTCTGTTTCTAGGACATCACCAAAGCTTATTATTTTTATTTATAAACTTTCTTGAATAATGAATACTTTAATATATTACATTGAATAGAGACACCACTACTTAATATGCTTGGCTTACACATTTATTCTATTTTTGAGACGTCACAGAAATTTAAGATTTTTTATCCTTCGTTTTGTTTCTTTGAAAGTTTATTAGTTTTCTCAAAAATCGAATTAGGGAAAAATTAGCTCTGCATTTGCCGCTTCAAATCGACATATATTATAAGTCGACTGAAACAACTGCTTGAAACTCATTTTTATTCTATCGTTACACAGGCAGACCGATACGACCAACAAAGCTTTCGCAATTTTTACTTAAAAAATATCAATTTTAGAAATAATAATAATATGTATAGAAGTTTATTCAGCTCGTCGAAATCTAGGGATGTGAATATGTATTGTCTCTTTCAACTCAGTAGTGTACCAGCGAAAAAGCCACTCCATTCGGTTTTTGGCCTTTTCCACGTTGAAGCATCAATTTTAGCTATAGAAAATGGTATCTAATTCTTGCTCAGCTCGTCAAATGGTGTAAAGGACTGAACTCGACAAAGTAGTATATTGCGTAAAAAAATGTTTTCGATATTTCCCTCAGAAAACCTTTTAGAAAATACTTGTAAAAAAAATTGGTTAACAAAAATGCTCGCCATATCAGCTGCTACAACTTTCTAGATGACACTCACTAAAAGTTCGCTTAGAAAAGCACTTGGAGAATAGCTCGGAACGCATTTTTGCCCCATTGGCTTTCGAGCACTTTCACGCTGACATGTTTAAGGTGTGGGATTATGCATTGCATTTTTATTTAGCCTGTCGAAATCTATCTATCGATCGATCTCACGAAAAAAAAAACCCTTCACGTAGAATGCTGTGGTTAAGTTTTTGCTTTTTAAAGTATGTTTTACTAGGATCTGGTATTGGGACATGTGTAGTATTTCACTGAGGGCTTTCGACTGGCGTTAGGAATGACCCATTCTACATTGACCTCCATGTAAACATTCGGCTACGATTTTGCAAATGAAAGCTTTTTGTTATAAAAGCCCCACCACAATAGAACCCATCTGTCATAGACATAGCAGATTTGAAAAAAAAAACCGCTTAAAAAAGCAAAATCGCAAAAAACAGTCAATTTTCCCAAATTAAAATTAGAACGGAGAACCAAATTCCTCCAAGAAAAAGGTATTCATCCAATTGGCTCCAGTCTACGCACAGCCCTATATGAAGCAAAATTCTAGCGCTTTGCCAAAAACCAACTTTGTCCAAGCGCTCTAAGGGTCGATTTTTACCTTCGATGAGCAAAGAAACAAACAAAGCGACAGACAGACAGTAGTATATAAAGATACAGATTATAAGCCGCCAGAATTTAGCATGCCTATCACAATTCACAGGACGTTACATTTACCTTTTTAAACGTATAATGTATATTTTTTTACTTTTTGATTTTAACAAAAGAGCCAATAAGGTTCTCTATTTCCGTACCTATGCGCCTTGCACAAAGGTAATGTCGTACAATATTTTGCTTTGCAGGACCTCTCCATTTATGTTAAATCTATCATGCACATAGCAGAAAAATATTACAGTTTATCAGGCAAGGACAATTTGTAAATGACCATACTAAAAAGCTTTGTCCGGCGCGTAAATACAAGCAGGAAAGCAAATACCAAATGATAATAGGTCTACAGAAAGGTTCCTCGGAAAACATGTCCGAACTTCTATTTGGCGGTTACATTAGCACAGAACTTAGAGCTTACATCGCTATCACGCGCAAGGGCGAGGCCTACATAGAATGTTTACGTTCGCATTAATATAGTTTATATTCTACCAAGATAAAGGAAGAAAAACCCTTCGCGATAAACATATCTGAAGAGGACTTGATATCCAAAACCACATCCGGTAGGACTTACGATTTAAGTTGACTCGCCCCATTCGTAAGGCGTCGTGACCTAAAATATCAAACATAGACATGAGAACTTCTGGTTCCACCGTTCAAAACTCATCATTCAGAGATTTTGCTGACTACATGTATTCTAATATACATAGAGGTCTTAACCATTTGCCATATAATAAAAGCTGACCATTCGTAAACTCTGGCCAAACGTTCGTGATAAGATTGAGAGTTACAAAGCTAACTAGCTGCCGTAATATGCGCCTTGTCAGACAAAGTGCTAATGATATTATTTACAGCCAAGGCCCTTGCTTTGTATTTCTCTTCTTCTTTTCGACATTCGGTCGGTGGTGCGTCAGGGGAACTCGTGTTAGTTGCTTCAAAATTCAGATTTGAGTACCTTCCATCTTTTTCTTTCTTTTCGCTTGAGATCTTCCATCTATTACGCTTGCATAACGGAAGCGAAATTCAAGTTTGCGCTAACCGTTAACGCGTCAATCTCACTTAATCTGTCAGGTCTCTGCAGGGAGGGAAATTCAAATAGCAAGAACTTTCAAGTAAGCGCTAGCGGCAAATTGACCTCGTATTGCGATTGCGGTATGTTGCAGGCTCTAGGGGTCCTAAAGGATTGACAGGTCCGCGGGGGAAGTCATGAGAAGACGGAATGGGCGGAAGGTGAGCACTGGACCTAATCAGCGATAAATGTATACGGTCATCGCGACAACTGCTAATGTTTGGATTTGCTGTGTTAAAATTTTGACTCTAGGAAATAGTGGTGTTTTAGCTTGGATTACTGCTTGGTATACGAGGCGTGGCACAGCTTTGACGCTATTCTCGTGCGTGGACTGATCCGGAGTTCCTCCAGACAGCTAACTTTTCATGGTAGCAGTTTACTGGTAGCCAAAACCCCCCCTCTCTCAAGAGGCTGGCCGCTTTTGGCGTCTGCTTCTTGGTTCCCGTGAGGTTCACGACAAGTCAGTCGGCGCGACATCGATCGGGCGGGCAGGGGTGCTGTCTGTATGGCAGGCTGGCGCCAGAAACAAAGCTCTCGGTCCCCTGGGCCATCCTGCGTTTTGCTTTATGTTACTGTGGTGCTACTCGATGAAGTTGCATTCGTTAGAGAGAAAGAGAAAAAAGAGAGGGACAACTCAACCAACAGCGTAAGGAGGATTTCACTGTAGTACCAGCGGATTGCAGGAGCCAGCTTGCCGTGGGCCGAACTTGTTCTCAGCCAATTGTATCCCTCATCAACTCTGTCCCAATGTGTGCGGCATCGGAAATCGAACGGCGGGATTTCGCGAAACATCTGACCCAACATGGTGATGCGCTACTAGAGTGGCTAGCAGCTAGACATTTCAAGGAAGCAACAACTGTATCACGACGGAGTCAACCGCTACCATTCGAGATGTAATCGCCGGACGAGCACGCGGCTGTCCTCAAAGCCCGCTATTCCTTAGAAGTTGTGCCAAAGCTATGAGCGACCAGTGGGAAACACAAATGTGGTTTGTTGTGTAGAGAAGAAAAGATTACAGCGCCATTGCAACTAATCGTATTAGGAAGGGAAAGAGTAATCATTACCGTAATATCATCCAAGTGGCCTGTGATAGCAATTTTAGATGCGCAAAGATGTCCATTTGCAGGTGAGTTCAACGTTTGTGGCCTGTGAAGCACAGATAGGCGAAACTTATAATAGAAGCTTGCCCGAACCCTGGTTACGTAGACTATACCTAAGAAGCAAACAGTAACTAGTATAATATAGCTATGGTGAAAACTTGTGGCATATGAAGGGTCCGTGAATGGATAGGGATATAGACTGGATCGTCAACAAAATATTGCAACAATATATACCTAACCTAACCAATACAAAAATGGTATATCGATTGGTTCGATCAACTGGTTGGAACTGCTAAGGGGCATTTTACTGTAGCTTTTGTAAGCAAAGAATATATTTGATAGGGGAAAATAAAGTTTTAATACAGAAGCTATTGGACTTTGTTTCTGTTCGAAACTGAATCATGTGATTTCTTTATGTTATCACTGTTTTCTATAGCTTAACAAGAAAAATATGGCAAATATCTAACATCTATACTTGAAAGACGTTGGGTAATTCTCATAATAAACTACAGGACAACGGCTAAGGCATCTGCAGTAAAACAAAATATTTCATCATTCGTAAATGAAGAAGGTTATTTATTGAGGGATGAGGTAAGTTCCTGGAGGAACAATGCGACTTGTGGTCGCGTGATTATAAATCGGGTATCATAGAAAGTGAAGGGCAAGTCGTACATATTTCGAAAGCCTTCCACGCAAGAAGTCGGCCCTCATACCTGTTAATTATATGAATATATAAAAATAACAAATGATTGAATAACTAACGAAGCTAGAACATACGGCTATACTTTATCGGATTCGCTTGCCCGATTGTACGGTCAGATGGTAAAGTAATATCGGCTGGTTTCGTCGGATCTAGAACAAGTCTTTTTCCTTGTGCAATTTACATTTCAGGCCCCTGGTACACCCGGTTCGGAATTCAAAGAGACAATAATTGCACCTAGTAAATTTGGTTCGGATATCAATTACGCTGTTCCCGTAGTGGTATGTTATAGGTCCTACGTTCTCATTTTATTTGAACTCAAAACAGCTTTTGCTCTAACTGAACTTAGTGGACCTCTGATTCAGATTTTATAATCTCTAAGAATAAGAATTTCGATTTTGTCAGCATTTGACTGTAATTTGCCACAAATAAACTGCGATGATAAATTCGATGGCAATGTAAATGTGTCTCAATAGCGTTGACTTTACGCTTGTATACGATTCCCATTAGTCGTTGTACCCATTTTGGCCATAAGGCAATTTTACAGTAGTTCATCATATATTGATTTCGAATCGATTCCCTTGACCAGACCACCCTTCTAACCGGCCCCACTTGAACCTTTTGTGCGACTCTTTTGTGGGGCCACTGAAATGGACGCCCTATTAAAGCAATCCAGTTCCAGACCCTCAAACCATGTATAAAGCTTTCAGAGAGTTTTTTCAGTTAAATACAAGGTAAAGCTACATCTCCTAGTTCCTAATAAAGTTCAGTGCAATTATTACCGATGGCTAGAAGCTATGTATATCTACTGAATCGATTTAACTTTGTTTAAGTTAACTAGTCGGAAAACACGTAACGACAGTCATAAACGGCTTGTACCTGATAAAAGCAATTAAACGCACCGACAAAATAATATTGACTTAGCCAAAACTACTGTTAGAGCTCACACATACATGTGTATAATTTTTTTAGGTAGATAGCGTTTCTCTTTTAGATAATTCAATTGTACTGAACCTGACTCATGTTCACTATTAGGAATACGTTTTTGCCCTAGGTGCGATACTAAAACAACCTTTCTACGGTAGCTTGCGAGAAGCCTTAAAGAAGCAAGGCTGGCATAAAAGTGCTGATGTGTGCTTTTTCTTCCTCTCTAGAAAAAGGTTACCCATGTATATTCCAGCAATAGAGGATTAACATGTTGTAGGCATGTATACTTACTCAAGCGACCTGATTCATCTAGATACTGGTATTTGGCTGGTTTTGTCTGATATGTATCTTAAAAGCTATTTAACTGCGTCTGTTTGATACCCGTTAAACTTACGCGCTCCAGTCCAACGCGGAGACTTGCCTATGCTCCTGTAAGACTGACATTAACGCTTGAAAATCGAAATTGAACAACTTAGCCCTTAAACGACAATGAGCAGGCCAATGCACTCATCGACGATTTTCGAACAGCTGCTACACTTTGTTGTCGTATGAACAATGGATGCATCGTTTGACCTTTAGCCATTTTGCTAATTAAACGGACAACTCGTAGGAGAATTGAGCTAAGGTAGCATGAACTAATGTACTGAGGTTACCTGGGTAGAGCGAATTCTCAAACGGGTGACACCAATTGATGGTAGTAATTCATATTTTAACAAAGTATCAATTGTGCTTATCGAAAATCACAAAAGAGATCTCAGAATGCTTTTACTGTATTTGTTTAATATGTAGGCTTTGTAAAGAGGTTTGAAGAGTTTGAATTTGGCTATGAGGTTTGTGACCCGCGCTGAAATGCAGTGCTCCATCGTAGTGCCTTACATATGCAATTATTCCACTAAATATTTATTAATGTTCAAAGAGAATTCACCAGGTACGGACAGGCATGCTCCTACCGTACCCACCGCGGCATAAATCGGTAACTGTTTGATGTAGCACGTCGGAAGTTATCTTAACAGGTATTCTACGTACGCATCTTTACGTCCTTCAATTGATCTATCGAACCGCGTGAGCGGTATTTGCTAGAACTGCAGTGGGGTCAGCTGAGATATACTTTTAACCTCTCGTACTTTTGTGTCGTTGGATGAGCTGGAAGCATCGGACTCTGGTCTACCTTTGGCAGAGGCTTAGCCGTCCAAGTTGGTTCGTCTTACTGCCGCGCGTAATCTTGAATATTAAATATATACACTGTTCCGATCGCTGTTACATCTACATTCTTTCAAGATTTTAGCAAACGATATTTGCTCGAAAGCAAAAAGCATTTATATCATTCCCTTATAAGCTGCCCATCCTATTCTGATAGTTGCCTTCTGTGGCCAGAGCCGTTAGCTGAAACCAGTTGAAGAAATGTGTGCCCCTGATATGGCCATACAATAGGCCATATAGTCCTAACGTTTTTGCAAATCTAAGGAAGAGTAAAAAAAGAACTCTCGAGGAACCTAGCCCACTCATTTCAAAAACCACCATTATTGCTCACTTCAAGATGTCCTACAGACGGTCCATCGATCGGAACCATTTATTGATCCGTCCGCGTTCCCTCTCGAAGCCCTAAGAGCACGTCTCTAATCCGTTTGACGCGACTTATTTTTTAACTTTGCCTCAACGGGCCACCCCCGGGTCTTACTCATCGTTCAACGAATCTCACGCATATAATCTTCCGTACTATCTGAGTTAAAAAAAAAATAAATAAAAAACGTCCAAGTCTGTCGAAGCGTAGATGTCAAATATGGGCGAAAATCTTTAAGGGCACGCTTAAAGGCTGCAGGAATATTATATATATTCATGTCTCTTACAATAGTAACATAACGGTACAGGACTCAACAACGAGTTTAAGTAAGCTAAAACCACCACAATAGAAACTGTTTATTTATGCCGGCTGAATGTACACAGCGTGTTTCGCAAATTTCAATTAGTGGCCTAAATAGGTATGCCTCCATACACTCAAATTAGTAGAATCAAATGATCACGACCGTATGTGTTTTCTAGCCATGAAACCCATGCCGCACTAAATACGTCCCAGGGACCACCTCACAAAAATAGTTTCTCATAGGAAATACATGGCGGGCAACTCCTAACTAAACTTCCGTCTGAAGGTGCGCTAGTGTCCTATAATCGTGTCATTTCCTAACAGCCTGCATACATGTTTTTCGGATCGTATTTTTTTTCTCTGGGCGTTAACAAACGTAACTTGTGCGCCTTTACTCAAACTTACTTACCTGATGTTGTCTATTGGTCCTCGACTGTACGTCAATTGTCAAACACAAAACCGTCATTGGGTGTTTCTTCACGGCTCAGATACCTCATGTGTGTTTTGGAGAACTTAGAAAACAGCTATGTACTCAGTATGATTTTCGCTTGATTTCTAATCCGTGGCTTCCTGTAACGCTCTTTTTGATAGCGGAATAAATAACAATGTCTAATACTGTGTTATGTCTCTATAGGTTTCCCTAAAAATACAACGAGCGCATTTACTTTTTCTAGATGTGAGTTGTCTAGTGGTTGGAGGTCATGGCTAAACTTAATTTCACACGCCTCTTACCTCTCAGACCTAGAACATATCATGCGCCGGAAATAACGAGCTCTTATCTGAATCAGTTGCAGTCTATCCATTGCATGCTAACAAAATGGCCAAGAGGTTATTGCCGAAAGAATTGCCATCGGTCTGGTCGCCTTCAAAATGCGAGAACCGAAAGCGCAGTACTCGTAGACATTATCTATTCAAGTCATTAGATCGGAGACGCGACATGGGTCGAGCGGGAGAATGAGGAAGTAGTTGTTACGAAAATGCGTATCAGTTTTAACTCGAAAAAACGGGAAATTGCCTGTTCAGTTTATCAGTATCGAGATGTGGGTAATAGGACGTCGCGATAAACGAAACCCAACTCGTTACATCGCTCCGCTAGTTTAATGGACTGGACTGGACTGCTCGAAGGCTTTTAGTCTGGTGGGGGTGGGGGGCGGAAGGGGCAATTTCCTATCACCAAGAAACGTTTAAATTCGGAAACAAATTTGTTTCATGTATTCAAAACATAATGAATTCCCCTTTAACTAAATTGTATTTCCACTTAATTTTCTTAAACTCGCGATGATATCAACAGGAAATTGAGCTGTAAGGGTTTCTGATGATAATAGTAAAACGACCCAGTTAATGTTTTAGGTGATTTTTTAGAAAAAAAAAAAGGTTAACGTTTTAGTGACGCCATCCGCTAAAGGTTGCTTTTTCTGTTTCTCTTGAGATAGCAATGTGTTGTGTTTAAGAAAGCTCTGATCTTTTTCGTATTCGAGCTCTAACCTGATTAACAAAGAGAGTTTTGCTTCTGGATAAATTCAACAAGACATCAAACAAGTCTTCAAGGTAAAACTTCTTTTTATTATAAAAAAAAGAAAAAGAAATTTCATCTGACGCCATTTTTCCACTATTTCCTCATTAGGTGTAATCGAGTCCATCACAGAGTCTTCGACTTTTCTGTTTAACTGAAGAAAAGTAACACGCGAACTGGGAATGTAATTCGAACATTACTGCCGACTCCATATCTGACGAACTAATCGTCCTAAATACTATTTAAAATATTGTACTGGTAAAAACTTCGAAGGGTGGACTATTCGTTGGTCACCTATGGTGCAGCCCGCTAATCTTAAGCGAACATTATCTTAGTTAGATTTTTGGAGCTAGTCCTTTTCTTCACCTAACGATAGCCAGAACAGATAAAAACATACGCTATCCAACTACCTCTTTGCATATACTTGCTGCTGTTATTGACAAGCTTACGAATGCGCATGTAAATAACGTCATCGTTCCGAAGACGTTTCCGATCGCCGCAGGTAGTCTCTTCCAAAGCGATGATACATATACCTTCATTTAGTCGTTCTTTGCACGTGTTCCTAAACGTCGCAAAATGTCGAAGAAAAAGTTATAGAAATTCTACTTGTTTTTCATCAGTTGGATAACTACAATAGTTTACGGAGCCGATTACAGAATTGGGTACGGCTTGAACCCGATTCGCCGTACGAGCAGGCTATAATTAATACTGCTAGTTCGTAACTGGATATAATAATACTGAAGTTTTTACGACTTGAAACGAAGGCCTTATAGTTTCATGCTTTGAAATTTTTCACCGCTAACCCTATTATTAATTATTTTGTAGATTTTACTTTTTGACAGCAGAAGGTTAGCTAGATTATCAAAATCGATACAAACTTCCTTTCGAACTGTCAATAACTCTTACACGCGGAGTCGACCTGCAATGATTGATACAAATTGCCCTATCCGCACTCTAAATCGTCGGCCAATGTCAAAAACAAATGTTTGTGTTTCGTACTTAGCCTCAGTTTTCTTCTTTCGAAGCTTTGAGATCTATCTACCAGAGTAGGTGCACCTTTTACGGAGCATACTTTTACTTTTATAAATAAACTAACTTTAAACTAACATTAAGGGAGTTGTCTCTGTTTTGGGCCTGAGTGCACTGGCAGTGTCATGTGTGCAGCATTTCCTTGGCTGTGCCGAACGAAGCTGCAGTAGTAAAGTAGGAGCGTATCCTACAGATTGCTCTTTTACCTCGAAGCGATGGACTTCAGGAAGAGCGGAAAAATGTCCGGCTTTGTTACCCTATGGTCCTACAGGAGAAGCTGCTGGCTGATGTTGGCATCAGGCGACATCCTCACAGGAGCGGCAAATGTTGAAGCTTCCATAAACCATTCATCGTTTGCCTGAATAGTATCTTGATTTGTCGACGCTGGAACTTGTGTTAAGGTATTTTTGTCCCTTTTTGGTGATCGACTGATTCGCCAAGCTCTCGATCGCACAGGTGCTAAAACTGAAATCAAGCGTCTTGCCTATACACAAAAGTCGTACGCTTATGTGAATGTGATTTTATAATTGTGTCACAAAGCATGCAAAGGATACAGCTGCTTTTCAACTAAGAGATCGCGAGGATTATGGGACGTACGACATGCCACTTTTTTCACAGTCTAAGTAACGCGACGATATTAACATAACTGGGCTTCATTTGAGGCCCTCATATAACGGCTTTACAACCATCACCGAGGTATTTGCGGCACGTAATGGCGAATCGTGGGTTAAAGCGATACGCGTCCAAGTTAAGTTTGGCCTATTTTACATGCAATAAGATAATTGATATGATTTAGACTTCCTGAAAAAGGTTGGTTTTAGTTTTTTTGGGCAAAATTAAGGCTCAACAAAACGCCGTCTATATGTAGACACCCATAGCATTTAGATAGCTAGAAGGAAATGCACTACGGAGCCTAAAGCCGTCCTTGCAGGATACTGCTGCTGGGCAACTGCGCGCGGTACGATTATAATACGTAAATGAGCTATCCTTATTAGCACCGATGATACCTTGCCGTTTAGGTCTGGCAACAAAGGGATGACAAATAAAAAAAATAACGATGTTTACATGTAAATGCAAGCAAAGCTTCGTA